GCTAAGTCCTCCAATTCACAGCCTGGCACCACACCAATTTTCCCTCAAATAGCTGAATCTGGCGACTTATAGCTGGAACTTCATGATCCCCACCCCTACCACACTGGAATTTTATGAACCCCTACTGGAACTCATGATCCAAGTCCGTCCAATCCCTTTAAACACCATTTCCCAGCCCTCTAGTTCACAACCCCATTACCCTCCCTTCCCACTACTCCCACATACCCAGCACCAACCAACCCTTCGAATGCCCTTCTCCAACCCAAAATATGAGAACTCACACTAGTATCACTTACAATGTACACCCCCACCAGAGAACTCCGCCTTCCACCCCCACTAACTTCATCGACACCTCCCCTTTCCCTCTCCTTTAAACAGAGGTTCACTTTATGGGTAGGGTGGGGAGTGGGTCTGGCGTGTCAGAGTGATGACAAGAGTAAGGTGGTACTTGAGAGAGGTGGTTGATAACGAAGGTGGTGGAGATGGTTGTGGGGGAGGAGAAAGAGTGAGAAAGGGAAGGGGGTGTTTTAGGTGAGAGAGAGTGATTCGGGGTTGATATCGAGAGAGAGAGGGTATGTCACTGTGCTAGCTTCAGTATACTATGTAAATTCCATATAACTATTGAGGGTTGCCAAATAGGATTTCTTAGGATGTTCGGGTAGTATGAACCTATTTTGCAAAATAACTTAAATAAGTTAGTTGAAGTTTAACCTATTATGTAAAATTGACCTAAGTATAACCCGTTCTAGTCATTTTTCCTTAATATAAAGAAAGGCTCAAATTTAACTCTAAGAATTTGAAATTTCACACTGTGTTTAATTCCCCCCCCCCCAACACACACACAGAGAGAGTAGAGTAGGGTAGAACAATATGTCATTGAATAAACATTTGCAAGCTAGAATTCTAACTGTAGCTGAAAATCCTCATTCCATTAACCTAGTTGGCTGGTTCCTAATAAATAAATGCCAAAAAATTGAATACGGAGCACGGCTTCATATTTAAAAAAAATCCAAAAAAAAAAATGAAGCACCTCTTCAGCCAAAAAAGTGATTCCCAAAAGTCCTTGTAGCACAGGTCGTCCTTTCTCAACTGAAGATATGTAAGATGATGCATGTGTTCAAGGACGAAATGCAGCAGGGCCTGAAAAACAATTTTTAGAATCAATTCTGTCAGTCATAAATTCTAGTTTATTAAAGAAAAGTGGAGTTCCTAAATTTAAAAATAAGAAAGCAGAGTAGATCTACAGATTGATTTCAAGTAAAATACTCCATCTGTCCCATATTAAGTGACTGTTGAAATACCTGTTCAGAATTCAATTTGACTTTTTTTATTCAAATTGAAAAGGAAAAATGGGGATCAGAGGATTTCCTCAAAAGGGTAGGCTACGCCCAAACCCATGGTTACATTTGGATCCCTCTCGCTCTGTAATATTAGTCCACCTTTTTGTTAGAAGGCATGTCAGAAGATCTCCAATAATTAATCACGAGGGAACTGTATTATTTCAATGCACTCATAGATGGAGTTATAGAAGTTTAAATGCTCATGGATTTTGAAATTGTTTTCTGGAAACTATTTTGATTAATAAGGTTATACACCTCATTGCAAAACAATAGCGCTCCTACAGCTCTTTCTTGTGAACAATCCTATTATCATAATATCATGCTCTTGAACATGTGAATGTACTTGTGCATTTTTGTGAGGTGGTAAATGGAGAACCAACACAAGGCTATTGAAACGGAGAATGATAGGTTTTGGCTTACCACTGGTCGACTGCTGCTTTGTATTTTGGCATTAGTATTTGAATTTGGCTCAGATTCAACCTTGTTTTGAAAAAGGTTTCATAGAGGAAATTTATTTTTTTTTGGATTTGAATAAAACCCCAAAAAAATTGAGGTTATTTTTCTCAAGAAAATTCATTTTACAAATCTATGAAAACATCTAGAGATTTCAATGGATTTGGTTGTAAACGACTGATTTGTGCAATGATAAAAAAAAAGCCAACTGACTTGCAATAGGCGGTGGACTGAAACATATGTTCGTCGGCAGGGACGGTGGACGGGGATGGAGACGGGGAAGAAGAAGAAGGGGAAATTGAAGAAAGAGGAGAAACCTGCGTCCAGGACGGGCAGCAATGGAACGCATCGGACCCCCCACGCCGCAGCCGGCGTCCAGGATTCGGTCGCCGGACTTCAACTCCGAGCAGATCGCGATGGGATTTCCCCTGGATGGAGGGGGAGAAGTGGAAGGATTGGCCCCAACCCCACTTGTAAATGTCCGTGACGAGGTTTTAGAAGGTGTAGACGAAAGGGGGGACCTTGTCAGCGGTCTCGATCTCCTTGGGCGTCGGAAAAAGGATCAAGGATGTTGATGGAGCCGGCGGAGATAGGAGGAACGGAGGAGAGGTGAGGAAGATGGAAAAGGAGAAAGAAAAAGAAAGAAAAAAAGAAAGAAGGAGAAAGGAGAAGGGACGCACGATGTTACAGAGAAAGAGAAAAATACTGTAGAAAAGAATAAAAAAATTAAAGTAAATTATATAATTGGTCCTAATAGAAGTGTTTCTCTAATTAATTCCTTATTATCAAATATTATCTAAGTGATCCTTTTTTTATGGACATCTTTCCACAAATTGTTCTTTTTTGATCTTCTATCATCTTGGTATTAATTTGAGAGTTAAAAGTGTAATTTCACAATGATAATATATCTTTTTTGTCATACACAATTTCAAAGGTTGTTCCGTTTGCATCGTTTGTGAATTACAATCGCTTTCTACTACAACCATAGTCTACAAATGTGGTCTTTCGTCAGAACTCTAGCCCACAACCATAGTCATTATTTCCGTGTTATCCGCTTAACCAATATCAGAACACGTCACTAAACATAATGTTGATATCAAATTATACTTTTAGCTTTTAAATTAACACTCACACGACAGAAGATCAAAAAAGGACAATTTATGGAAAGGTACCCTTAAAAAAGGACTACGGGGGTAATATTTGATAATAGAGGACTAAATATGGAAACCCCTTATTATAAAGAACCAATTATGGAATTTGCTCAAAAAAGTAATAATGGATAATGAACAATCATAAAAAATTCAATTGAAAAATACATCAAAATCTATCAAACTCTGCATAGACTTAAAATAATTCGTTGATTTTATATAATCTATAGATTTTAAACAATTTATCAAAATCTTTTAAAATCCAAATTCAATACACCCCCCTAAGTTATGCAGTGATATTAACAGCACCCAGGTTCCATGACATTGCCCGAAATGTCATGGAATGATCTGGGGTAGATGTGTTCAATCAAATCGATCTAATACGATCTGATCCAAAAATTTGGATATCCAAAAATTTCGGATCATGTAAAACTCATTCCATATCCGATGCGAAAATATTCGGATATCCAAATTTTAGATATCCGATTTTTCGAATCAAATTACTGGATTATCCGAAAAGTTGAGTTTTTAAACAAAATTTACAAAACAAAGGTAAAATAGTAAAATCAAACCAAAATATCAAATTCAATATAGATTTACTAAAAGAAAAATTCGATCACTAGGTAATGGCCTAATAAAAATGATACCAAATTTAATTTGGGAGTAACTTTGGTAATTTTTTCCTAAACTAACAACAAAACACTATTAAAACAAAAGATTCTAAAATGCTAATGCAAAAAGTCAAAAATGGTTGAGTTCTAAAATCAACATAAAATTATATTTAAACATATAGTTAGGGGAGTTCAAAAACATGTCCGGACCGGATTTTGGACCTGAACCGGACCGGAATGGACTGGTCCGGAAGATTCAAGTCCGGTCCTCGGGTTTTACAAATTAGGGATTCCGGGTTTCCGGTCTGTTCCGAGTTTGACCCGGAATTTTCCGGTCCAGACCGGAATATATTGTATAAATTGTATCCATTATTAGTTTCAAGTCCAAAAGCATTAGATCCAATCCATATAGGTTTAGATTCATGAATTTCATTTTTCCAATATTTAGTTTTTAAATATTTTATTTTAGATTATTATTTTTACAGTAGTTTATAAATTTGAATAAGTTATAAAATAAGTTTTGATGAATTTGTTGCTACTACTTATAAGTACTATTTTTATTAAATACTTTGAACAAAAACAACTTATTATTACATTTTTTTAAATTTATTTAATTATTTTATTCATTAATAAGATTGCAAAAAAAATATTAAAAAAATTCTGGTCTAAAGTATGTTAAAACCGGACCGGACCGAAAAAAATAGGTCCGGACCGGTCCGGACCTGAAATAAACAGGTCCTGTCTTCGGTTTTAAAGAAATTGCAATTTCGGTTCCGGTCTGGTCCGGTCCAGTTTTGGACCGGTGCACACCCCTACATATAGTCATAATATATATCCATAAAATTTCAAAAACATATAGCAAAAAAATCGGATATCCGATTATCCGAAAAATTCTAGAAATTGAATCCATATCTGATCCGATTTTTCTCAGGTAATCGATCTGAAATATCCGAAAGCTGAAATATCCGATCGAATATCCGTTTTTCGGATCAGATCAGCCCGGATCGTGGGCGGATTTTTTGGATCAGATATTTTTGAACACCCTTATCCGGGGGCGCTCCGGTCACCCGTTCGTAAAATTGACTGTTTCATACACCCTAAAAGAACTGTCAATTTTACTAACGGGACAACAGAGAGCTCCCGGGTCATCCCTGACATTGTCGGGCAATGTCATGGAAAATATGGCAAAATAAGTATACAATTGCCAAAGCATAAAGTACTAAAGTGACAAATAAGGCATAATAAGTAAGTACACACACAAATACACATGAAGATGGCGTTTAGAGAGAAGGCGTTTAGAGAGAAGGGAGACCGCGGTGTATATGGCGACCGCCAGCGATTTTACCCAAATTTCGATCAGAGACTGTCTTTTCCGCACAAGGTTTCTTCCCATTTCCAACGGAGACAGTGGGATGATGATCTCAACAACTATCGCGAATATCTTGACGATCAGCGGCAGTGTCGGAGCCAGGATCTAACATGAGTGGGGGCGCAAGTAGAGTGGCAGTCTATCCGTGGCCGGAAGATATCAAAATAAAAAATTGTTCTCACGGACATTTTGTTGAGCACATCGTGTGCAATAACAAAAGTTAAACTTTAACTTCAATAAAATAAATTATACTTGAGTAAAATAAATTAAAGTAGTGATTGATTCAAAAAAAGGAAAGAAATTAAGGAATGGAAATCGAATAGGCTGAATCAATGGGTAACTTGCTCTTTATCCCCTTGTCTATGTGTGTAGTTTATAATGTATATATGTTCCTCTGTGCAGTGACTGCAAGTGCAGTCACTTGCACCAATGTGGCTCCGCCACTGATCGGCGGCCTAAATACCCTTTATTGGGTCAGCGTATGACTTACAGATCCGGCAACAAGAGAAAGTCTCGTTGGGAATGAGAGCAAAGTCATTCATACCGACGACCGAGAGGTAGAGCAAAATTCATACGTGTACATCAGCTCAAATTTTGTTGGTAAGACTAGTTCCTCCAATTCTTTTCCGAGTAGGAACTCCAGGTTCAAGTTTCAAATCCAATTCATGGCATATGAACTCTTCTACTCCTTCTACAATCACAATATTTGCATTACTAGTCAAGGTAAGAAAAATTTCCATATTTGGTTCTATTTGGACTCTGTACACTGGCGGGTAGAATCTTTTTCAGGCTGACGAGTACAAAAACTCAAGGTTTGTTTAAATTTGATGAGAATAGAGCTCTCGAGATATGCCTTGAATCAAACCGAAAAGGGAAATTCATTCGTATTGCTGAGGTCGAAAGGAAGGTTTGTCTTTTCTATTGGTGCTGTTTGGGGATAATGGTGATGGATTTAAGCTGTTTTATAAGGCGTTGCACTCTTTCCTTGAAAAGATATCTCTTAGTCATAAAGGGATGACCACTAATAGCGAAGAGAACCCACAATCCGCCTGCATCCAGAACGCTTCTTCTTTAGGTGAAGCTTTAGCTACCACAACCATTGTCTCTCTTGACGCGGAAGTCTTGGATTTAAAGGTGGATGAGGTGATAGAAGCCTCAATATCTGAACTTGGTTCATCATCTCAACAATCACAACTCCACTCGAGCACAAAGGTTATGT